ACGAATTTTTCGCGTCTCACACTCCTTCCGCTGATAACAGGCCGTGGAGCTCTGCAGGCGCCGCGCCGTCCACTTAGACCACCTCTGCACCTCTGCGCAGGAGAAATGGCGTCCATTTCTACCAGCGAGCCGTGCCATAATATCAACACTGCGGGTTGACGTGAGCGGGCTCAGATAGATGGAAGATCATACAAACATGCCGTCTGAAAGGAAAATAGATAACCTCGAAAGCGAGCAAGGCCATTCCAATGTCATCTTGTCAAGCCATCCTTCCACAGAAGGCGCACAGAAAACGAAATTTACCCAATTTCCTCCACGGTCATTTCTTGTTCGAAAATTGGTAAATGCAAGTGCTACAATTCGAGTCATAAGTTCCCCTTTATACTATGCACTATGCAGTATGCGTATAGCCGTATACGATGTAGCCATAGATATTTCGAGGATCCGTAGAAATTATGAACCCTGTAGGACTCTGGAATCCACTTCTTAATTCGGCAGTCAATATCTACGTTCGACTCTAACAAGTGAGTTTGTCTTGTCATATAGGGATCAGGATGATAGCCTTTTATTATATTTCATTCAATTCCAGTATTGCCAATCATCTCCACAGCTCGAAGCAATATGATGAGAAACAAATAAGAATGCGAAGTACCAGCACGTGCCCAGAGTGAGTGTAAGCTCTGGGAGATTATTGCGCCGTTACAGCCTGACATACGTGACGTAAGACCGAAGACGGCCTATAAAAGAAATGGTAACCATTGAAGACCAGTGACCACGACAGTGACGCAGGTCCGGAGGCATGCTGGCAATGGCAACTAAAGGGTTAAGACTCCTATTGAAGGCTGCGACGGGGTTAAAGAGAGCATTTTGTCGTGCAATGGTGCTCATGTAAACATCGTCATTGTTGATAACTTACCAACAAGCACAGGGACGTAGCCAAGGGGGGGGGGCGGAGGGGGCGCCCGCCCCTCCCTTGGGGTTTTCAGGAGGCCCCCCCCCCCCCGAAAGGATTCAGGCCAACGTGGGCCGAAGGCCCACGTTGGCCTGAATCCTTTCGGCCTGAATCCAACGTGGCCAAAATCACGTCGGAGGCGAACGAAATTCACGCGGGAATCTAAAAAATGACGTCAGAACAATCAGGGCCCTCTGACCAGCCTGACAAGTGACAGCTGGGGCCCTTCTCATCTCGGACTGTGAATAACCACTAGTGTCTGTGTCTGACCGCTAGGGCCCCTCTGACTCCTCAGTAGACAGGAGGCCCTCTGTAGAGAGGAGGCCCCCTTAGAGAGGAGACCCCCTGTAGAGAGGAGGCCCTCTGCCAAAAGGAGGCCCTCTGTAAAAAAGAGGCCCTCTGTAAAAAGGAGGCCCTCTGTAGAGAGCAGGCCCTCTGTAAAGAGGAGACCGTCTGAAATCAGAAGGCCCTTTGAAGACAGGAGGCCCTCTGTAGAGAGGAGATCGTCTGAAGAGAGGAGGCCCTCTGTAGAGGAGGACTCCCTGAGTAGAAAGGAGGTCCTCTGTAGGTAGGAGGCCCTCTGTAGAGTGAAGGCCCTCTGAAGAGAGGAGGCCCTTTGCAGAGATGAGGTCCTCTGTATAGAAGAGGTCCTGTGTAGAGACGAGACTAAGAGAGGAGGCCCTACATAGATAGGAAGCCCTCTGTAGAGAGGAGGTCCCTGTAGAGACTAGAGAGGAGGCCCTCTGTAGAGAGGATGCCCTCTGTAAAGGAGGCCCTCTGGAGAGAGAGACACCCTCAGCAGAGAGGAGGCCCTCTGTAGATAAGAGGCAATCTGTAGAGAGGAAGCCCTCTGTAGATAAGAGGCCCTCTGTGGGCAGGAGGCCCCCGGTAGTCAAAGACAGCGTCGTATATTAAGTACATAGAGTGGAGGCCCACTGTAAGCAAATTACCTTCTGGCTTCTGGTCCCTGCTACTCTCTATAGAGAGTTATCAGTTCTCACTATAGTGAAAACTGAGAACTCAGGAAACTGTACAGAATAGACTCCCAACCGCGTCGCCGCCCACTGTAGGAAGAGACAGGGGAGGAGGTCCTCTGTAAACAGAAGGCCCTATCCTATGTAGACAAATTATTTGTATAAATGCGCTCAGAGAAATCATGCCGGGTGCCGTCAACGGTTTTGCCGTAAACGGTTTTACCTGCAGTGGCCGCAAAAACTGCCAAAATAGCCGATATTTTCGGAAACCAGTTTTCGGCGATAACTTTCGTCTCAAAATTTGCACGAACTTCCCTTTACCAGCATCGTGTTCCTCTCGTCCAGACGTGTGGAATGAACTATGAATTGACCTTGAAAGGTCAACTTGAAAATTTGGCCTCAGGTCAAGGTCATGACCTGACCGATAAGGGCTAAGATCCATATCAGTCCATCCGTATCGTCGAGCCAAACAACTAAGGTGTATTCATCGCTCTAGCATACCTCTATCAAAAGTTATTCGCGAAAAACAGTCAGATACCATTCGTGACCTGAGATGACCTCAGGGTTATAAAAAGGGGTCACGGGTGCCATTTTCATGTTCAATGTGTCAAAGATGCTAGTAATTCAGTGTTTTAGAGTGTTTATAATGACTTCCGTCTAAAAAGGCGACTTTCAATTTAAGGTCGCAAAATTGACGTGACCTTATGTCATCGATATCAAAATTCAATTTTTTGCATTTTGTCGCTCTTGTGCATTTGCATCTCTGAAAGTTTCAAAGCGTTTGGTCACTCCGTGTAGCTTTGGCAGACATTGAAACTTTTTATGTACTGAGGTCATTTGACCTGACCTGTGACCTGACCTTAAGTGACCAGGGTCTGAAATTTTCATAACATGTGTAGAAATGATGTAGGATAAAGTGTGCCGTGCCGCCGTGAAAACTGCAGGGGGGTGTTTAACACCCCCCGGCAGGGCGCGGGTTAATGCATGAACACAGCAGCCCATTTCTGTAATATATGTATACCTGTGGCTGTGTTGGTATTTTTACGATGGATGCAATTAGGCCCAAACCATTTAATAGACCGTGGTGATATTCCCATAGCCATGCTTCGCACAAATCGTAATAATTTATTTGACCGGGAAATTAATATATACCATAGATAACATGAATCATGTTATCATGTATCATGGTATCATGTTATCATGTTAGATTCATGTTATCTATGTATATATCTATCCATCGATTGTTTGTTTCATCTACGGCGTAAATGAAGCAAACCACCTGGACCTAGGAAAATTTACTAACGAAACCATGTTTTACTTACAGCAAGTTAACGTGGCATCATTCACACAGAAAGAATTGATAACCGTATAGTTTCAATCTTGCAGACGTCCGTATTAGACTCGTGACAAGCCTATTGGAAAATATAATGAACTGTGTCCTGCTTCGGGAAAACGAGTCAAAACCACCCAATTCTTTCTGAATTACGTCAGATTATCTGATCTGTAAGCACCCAGGTGGCATTTACTGACAGGGGCACCGGGAAGGATCATCTGAGGTGAGGTGAGGTCATCAACAGTTTGTAGCCAATAAATCACGATATGATGGGGCTAAATAGTTGTTAGTGTACCAAACCGTTCGCCTGGTCATGACGCGTCGATTGGTACCCAGCGTGACTTTCCTAGATCAGATTTTGAAGTTGACCTATCTATGTAGGTCGTTATAAACCATGTTATTTGTTATGACCTCTGGCGACCTCAATATTGACCTGACCCAAAAAAGTTGTTTACAAAAGTTGTAAGTCGTTCAACGAACTATCAAACGCCGTTGCCGTTTGTCGCTACGATTCGTGCTTTTCGAGTTCTGACGGGGGCCAAAAAGGCCCCCGCCCGATTCAGAGTCTTTCAGAGCCCGCCCGGAATACGGTTAAGCGCTTGAACGATATATGATAATACACCAAGTGTTACTCTGACCGTCATCCAGTATCCTCCCATTCCTCGCAGATCCTCCCCCTCCTGCTGCGGTTTGGCCGCCGCCGGCGCCCGAGTTTTTTTTTTTGCCCGTTATCATGCCACTCGGAGACTTGTGATATGCGTATGTTTCTTACCGCTGCAGCGGTAAGAATAAAGAAACATACCAGTGCGCTGGCCATATGAAAGCTGAACAAAAGTGAATGCATTATGTTGTATATGTAATTGTGTAGGCATGAGACCCTCTGTAGAAAGGAGGCCCCTTTAGGGAGGAGGCCCTCTGTAGAAAGGAGGCCCCCGGGATTCCTCCGCCCCTCCCTTGGCCAAATCCTAGCTACGTGCCTGAACAAGCAACACACTGACAACTGATTGCCTAACAAAATATCTAATGTCTGACATTTTATAAATTCATCGCAATTCTAACTTCACAAAAAGTCAGTTCAATTCCAAGACACCGTGGATATAGGACTGAACAGGTTGACGTCCTCGAGTCGCTGGGATCTTGGTCCCAGAGCCGGTGGGATCTCAGTCCCCGAGCCGGTACGATCTGTCCCCCAGTCGGTGGGGCGCCAGTCCCACAGTCAGTGGGACCTCAGCTCCAGCGCCGGTTGAGTCTCAGTCCCAGCGCCACTGGGATCTCAGTCCCAGCGCCGGTCAGGCAGTCCCTTCAGAAAGCTGTCCAATTATCTGCGACGGCCGCTGACCCGATCGACCCAATTTCGGCGATTTTCCCACTCAGTCTGATGAAGCTGAATGACACACAGTCAGACCAATATGCATAATTGATGCTGGTCGCGACTAGCGAGCTCTCCGTGGCGGGCGACCCGCCTGGTGACCGCACTGTCACCGGGAGGAGACGGGTCGAGAGAGGAGCGCACATCTACCGGGGCGCTGATGGCCGTCATTTCCACCGCCGCACTCCGCCCAACTCCGAGCTAAATCCTCAAATCATGTCTAAAGCGAGCCAATTTCCCCGAGGGAATCTCCAGATCGCTCCTCTCCCGAGACGGCAAGACAGGCGGAAAAAACGCAGTCTCACTTACAGCTCCCAGCTGTTTCGGAAGAATGAAGACGGCGAGCTCGCTAAAGAAAAATCAAGTCGGCAGTCGGTAAAAAGACGTGTATTCAGTCAACGCTAAATGAGAACACTTAAAATGAATCAACATGAGCACGCGCAACACGAGACTAAGAATCTCACCACAAATGGTCTCTGAGGAGCCGGGTCTGCCCGCCCGGTCTCCGCTCGGCGTGTGGCTGACCGCCCTGTCCTGCCCGGGGGCTGACGGTGGTCCAGCCGCCGCCCGGACTCCGCTCGGCGTGTGGCTGACCGCCCCGCCCCGCCCGGGGGCTGACGGTGGTCCAGCCGCCGACCCCGGACGCCCCTCAGGGCTGAGGTCGCCGGGTCGGCCAGGGCTGCCGCCAGTTTACAGCCCGCGTTATGGCCAGCCGGACGGCCAGCCACTATGAATTTCATCGACCCCTGGCCGTGAATCAGCACCAGGTCAGGATGACAGCCACCCCCCCCCCCCGTCCCCGACTCGGGGGTCGGATCGTCCCATCTAGCCCATAACGCCCCCACACATTCGCCAAACGCGATATCGTGGCTAACAAGCTGGTCGAAGTTTCGTTCATGCAGAAAACACATTCGCGATACATCTTTACACACATGCAAACTATGAAGTGGAATCGAAGTTGTACTTGAATCGGAGCTCCATTGGTTTATGGAATGACTTCCAGTGGTATGGGGTGGTTGGCAGTGGGTGCTGTAGTGTTTGTAGAAAACATATGTCGCACAGTGATTAGTGTTTGCACGCAGCAGGCAGCCGCTAATAGCATCGGCTGGGAACGGGCGGCACTCGCAGCGTGGCCCGTGAGAGGTGTGACGTCACTCTGGGAGCGAGCATCGACTATCGATGGAGTGGTGACCGATGACGTCTGTCTCGGTGCGCGTGCGGATGACGTCACACGCCGCTCAGCACGGCGTCTCGGTGCGTCAGGTGAACGTCGCCTCGCAGACAGCGCTCCTGCAGTTTCTGGGAACAGCAATAGAAACACGACGTCAGAGAAAACATAGTCACATGTTATCGCAAGGCTGGAAACATCACCAAACAGCACTACATGTAATCTAATATTTGAATGCATTTCTCGTTGATTTATCATTTTAAGCATACGATAAGACTTTTCAACTGATTTAATTAACTGTTTGAAGTGCTTTTGCATTAGTATTCCAGCGTTTGCTAAACATTACGGAGTTGCCACATAACCGCAAATGGAAGCCACATGTTGCCCTAGGTAAACTAGCGTTCGGTTCCCGTAATAATAACAGCTGAAAGCACTTCAAAGTGAACTTGGCCGCGGACGGAAGGGCGCCGCCGGCGGTCTCCGTCGCCCAGCAAGCTCCCACAGGTGGCCCAGCTGCGGCCCGTCACCGGAGCAGCCCGCGGGCCGGTCAAGTTGGGCCATCCGTCTGCCCGGCAGAGCGTCCGTCTCGCCCGGAATGCCCTATCCGGCACGGCCATCAGCAGCTCACGGCACCGGCCGTCCGCTGGATTAATGTGTCGAACTCCATCGGGCTGCTCAGCGCTAACCCGAATGGATGGCCGCGAGAATAGCGCACGCCATGATGTGGCGGCAATATGGTCCCAGCGGGCGGCGGCCGCCGCTGACGTGTGCGCCGCCCCCGCCCCCGCCCGGGGCGCTGCGGCTAAAACGACGGCGCCGCCCGCGACGGCAGGACGACAAACAGCCGTCACTCGGCGCCGACTTCCGACCGTGGTGGCGGCGTCACCGGACGGCACCGGCGACACCGCCGCTGGAGCCGCTCCAACCGCTACAACACACACCGCGCCCGTCCAAAGAACATATCACCATACCAAACACCACGCCACCAATCCACACATCGTTCCGGTTCAAACACCATATCAAACACTGCACCGGTTTCTACAGCATCGCGAGCGATCCAGAAGACCAGAAAATATACTGCCAGAAAACGCAGCCGGCAGTGACCCAGTGACAGCCAACAAAGATGAGTCTAACAAACTTATGAAGCAAAAGCCAGCAGCCGAGGAGCTGCTGCTGTGAATCAACGCCATTTGGTGAAGGGCACAGCAGTGCGTGACATTTTTCATACCGTGACATTTTTCATACTTATTGCGTGTGACATTCAGTGCGGGGCTGTGCCCGGGCATAGGGTGACCGTCAGGACGGAGACTGTGCTGTACCGTCAGCCTCGACAGGGAGAGAGGTCGGTCTTTACGGTCGCGCTCGCCGCGGCCGCGGATCCAACTCCGGCGCGAATGTGTCCGGTGATGGTGAGGTCATTTCGGGGGCGCCACGGGCGACAGCTCGGTCCCGAGCCGGGGTTTTACGGGCCGACTGGTGGCGCATGCAGCGCGGCGACATGCGACGCCCGTGACATCAGCGGCCGTGGCGGACGGCCGTGACTTGAGCGGCGCCGCGTCCGTGGTTTACGGGTGTCGGCGCCGGCGGCGACTCCGGGCTCCGGAATGGTATCCGTGACCCCGGCAGGTCACGGAGCTGTCCGAGTGTCCAGCTCTGGCTGGTACACTAATTTTCCCTCGACAGGGAAAACAGTATCATTGCCCATGCGAAAGCACTCCTATTACGACCCCGGGGGTATAGACCTGGATGATTCAGAATGAATAGCTAATGTCCACACTCCACATATTCAAATTAATTCCCCACTCGAAATGAGCCACTAAACAACTTTCAGTGTAATTGTATTAACCCATCCCTCGACACCAATGGCCGCTCTGATTATTGATCTGAATCTGAATATGAATGTAGGTACTGGTCAGCAAGGTCATCGATATTCGTGCCGAATATTATGTGAATGTCGATCAAGATCATCGATATTCGGAATGAATCTGAATGTGTATCTGATCCCGCGTTCGGAGTCTCTCGGACGACGAAGATCCTACGTCGTCCGGCCAGTCCCGTTCCAAGTCCGAGAGACTCCGAACGCGGGATGAATGTGAATCTGATGTAGCTAATAGCTATACGCTGGCAGGTGGGGCATTCCACGATAGATCGTACCACTTTTTTCCAATTTGACACCCTCATCTCTCGGATTTTAACGATAATTGGTCTAAGGGGTAATCAGGGGCTCTGAATCCTCCTGTGACAGTTTCAGGCTTATCAGATGAGTAGTTTTTGAGTTATAGTGTATAACATGTTTCGGATCTTGTGTTGCAGCGCCAAGTTTGGTGGGCTGTAACTCTAAGACGGATAATCCAAATGCCAAATGCTATACGGCATTGAACTTGCATTGAAACAAAGAATAATATTCATTTTTTAAATTTTGAAATATTAACTATTTTTGATATATAACACCTCGAGTTTCCTTTCATTTGCATTTTTATGCCTTTGGGACCAAATTTTTTTGAATTTTTATTTTCTGAAAAACATTTTTGGCTCATTATTAAGCAGTATGCAAAAAATTAGGAAGGTGTTCTTTCTATAAATGTACTTATTTTGCGTCACCGTAATGGTCTCAAACTGTGATTTCGGGAAAAGAGCCTACAAATGGCGTGGTAAAGCTGCCTAGTGACATCACTGGCTACTGAAAGTTCAATTCAAGTCATGTGTGCCTCACTTTTGCATTGTTGACCTTGCGTGACGTCATTCGTACGTCACTAGGGTCATAAGAGTTTTTCGTCAATAGCTCTCGATCAAATTGAGCTAGAGAGACGGGAAAGCTACCAATGGACTCGGGAAGACTTTGCGAATCAAATGATGTGCAATATGATCTCATTCACCCAGCTTCGTGGCCTAGCCCGACTGTTAACCATCTCTGTGGCGGCGCTGTTTGTCCAGCGCCGCGCTGGTTGGCTTTGCCGCAGACTCGGGGCGGTCACGTGATGCCCGGGGGCTGGCTGCCGGCTGGGCCGCCCGGTCGGTGCGCGGAGCCAAATACACGGCAGTGTGCTGACCCGAGGTCAGCAACTTATGCTGACCTCACCAGAACAAACGGTATACCATTCGACGCGCCGTAACTAGGCAGACACAAAGATGCTAAAATCGCGGCTCTGCGACCATTTGTTGCGAAGTTATCTACCAAAAACCGGACCCGTAATTTGGGTCACTTGAAATGACCTCAGGGTTCACCAATGAACCCGAGACCTTAAAATGTGTTATCATTCGATGCATCTTGTAACGGCGCACATGCTCGTTTTTTCCGCAAGGTTCTATCTCCATTAGAGGCGAAACGGCGAGCTGGGGTCGTACCGACCCCCCGGAAACCCATTTTATATGCATTAAAATGAGGAACTTATAGAAAGAACACCTTTCTAATTTTTTGCATGTCGATTTTAAATGAACTGAAGTTTATTTTGAGGAAATAAAAATGGCAAAAATTTTGGTCCCAAGTGCTATTATAGACAATTTAAAAAAAATATTACGACTTTTTTCAAAATGTTAAGCTTTTCTGTCCAATTTTAAAAAAGCTGTATTAATCTTTGATTCATCGTTAGTTCACAGCTGTTTACCGTTTGTTGCTTGCTTAGCTCGTTTTTGAGTTATAGCTCATCAAACTCACCCTTACAATCTGAAGTTTAAAAAATATTATGCAATATAACTCAAAAACTTTTCATCTGAGAACTCTGATATTTTGGCAGGTGTTTTTGGAGCCTATGATTACCCCTAGTACCAATTTTCATTCAAATCTGAGAGATGAGGGTGACGGGCCTGGTACGATCTATCGTGGAATGCCCCAGGTCAGTCTCCGGGACCGCGGGCGGACGGATGTGGCGCCGTCGGCTCAGGTGAGACGCCGTGCCGAACAGAGCCGCGGAGGGGGCAGGGGCGGTCACCCGACACCACGGCTCTCCGGTGACGCTTTCTTTGTTTGAAGAGGTAACGAGCGGCCGCCGCCGCGCACCGCTCTTATGACGGCTCCGACGGGTCGGCGGGGCACGTCGCAGTCGACTCGGGGGCGCCGGCAGGGGACTGCGACACCGCCTCCAGCGACAGGTCAGATGGCCCCGCATGCCACACTGTGACCCATGCAGGAGAGCGGCAGGTGAAGCACCCAGCTAACCACGATCATTGTCATGAACGATCCATTCCACACATGACGTGGCGCTTACTGCTCAAAAAATTACTCCCACACAAATACATTTTAGAATTCGCTGGCTATAATTTGTGTTCGTGGATGAAATTATGTGAGCTGATTACCCAAGAGTCAAGTGTCGTCAGCTAATGCCGAGGATACCACCAGGGTCCAGAGATGCTCTTCCTGACCCCGAGTGCAGCGGATGTCAAATTTCGGCCAGCGCCGCGGGACCACTAACGTTACTGATAGGCCAAGTTTGGGCCACCGCTCTCCCACAGTGGCCGCTCCATCATATGCTGCAGAGCGGAGTGCAGCAGTCTCACCAGTGCAATGGCTGGGTTGAGTCAGGGTGGCGTCAAAAGCAGTCGCCGCTGATCGTGTGTCGGCAGCGCGCGGGGTGATCTGCCGTCGCGGAGACTGGGAGGGCCGCGGATCGGAGCGTCGAGTGGCGTTCTGCCTGTTGCCGTCTGCCGGCGGCGCTCGGCGGGCTGTGGGCGGCGGGTGGTGGCGGGATTACGCCGCCCGCCCGCGGCTCTACACCGACCCCATGCTGACCCGGCCGGCCGTGCAGGACCACCGGAGGAATGCCAGGCCCGTGCCGGTGAGCCGAGCGGCGCCGGCCACCCGATCAGACCGGCGCAGCGCTCCCGGCGACACCGATCATCGGCCGCCGGCCGTGACTGCCCGGCCCAGAGAGCGGCGCGCTCGGGTGACGGCGGCAGACAGGATGTGAGCCGACCCCCGACCGGACATGGCGCCGGGGCGGTGGTCCGGACCGGAGCAAAGCCCGGAGCGGTGACCCCGGCCGGTGAGCCGGTCAGGAGCGGTGAGCCGGACCGGTGACTTGTTTGTTAATTGGGGCTTTAGGGCGCGCCGACTACTTAGGTCATTTTGCGCCCATTACCCGGAGCGGTGACCTGGACAGGAGCACGGCCAGAAGCTGGCGCAGCCCCATTGCCA